GCCCTCCACCAACCTCCCTGCCCCGGCTCCACCTCGACCTGCCCCGTCCAACCCTGTGCAGCCCCCGGCAGCGCCTCGTCATCAGATAACGTGTGCGGGGAGCTCCAACGGCGGTTAAAGGGCGAAGAGCACCTTGAGGAACGAGCGCTGCTCTTGGGGGTCACTGAGGGAGCGCTGGGGTGAAGGTGGGACTGGTACGAGCCGGGGAGCTGCTCCCCAAGAGATCCGGGTGCTTCCTGCTGCTTCTCTCTCAGCCCCGTGCGGCTGCTCAGGTCTTTAAGCTCCTGTTACACAGCTCAGATTTGAGGCCAAGCAGCCTGTGGGTGCTCCCCTTCCCTCAGTAAATGGCAGAAGCCTCATGTGTTGCCTTTGAGGCCAACCCGAGGTTGTCACCCGTGGCACAAGCCCTAAATACCCAGCCCTGGGAGCGGGAGCGTGTTTCTCTGTCCCCTTCGCTTGCAAACCCTTGTGATGATGCAGAAATGCTGCTGGACCCCAGGTTATTGCCGCTGCAGCGTCACAGCCAGAGGCTGCCTCTGTTGTGGGGCGCTGGAGCGGGATGAACCCACTTACCCGAGTCCTGCAGGATCCAGGTTCCTTCCACCTGAGAGCACAGAGCAAACAGTGAGGCTGCCACGTAGAGCAGACGTGCGGCAGCATCGACGGGACGTCACTGCACCCAGCAGCACCCAACGGCACCCAATGGGCTCTAAACGGTGCTGGTGAGAGGCTGCGACCCAGCACCTGAGGACAGGAGCAGGCTGGGGCTGATGGAGGGTTAATGATTGATGAGGGTGATGGGGATGCTGGTGGCGCTGGGTTGCTCCAGCCCCTGACGCTGTCCCTGTCCCTGCAGTCATCCTGACGGACGAGGAGGTGCAGAGGAAGCGCGAGATGATCCTGAAGCGCAAGGAGGAGGAGGCCCTCAAGGAGAGCCTCAAGCCCAAGCTCTCGGAGGAGCAGCAGAAGGTCATTGACATCCTGCTGGAGGCTCATCGCAAGACCTACGACCCCACCTATGCTGATTTCACCAAGTTCCGGGTACGTCCGGGCCATTCCAGCCCCATTCCCATGTGTGGGACCAACCACATGCACCAAACGCCTTCATCCACAGCCTCTCATCAGAGAGGAGTTACAAATCCCAGGGCAAACCCCCTGTGCTGTTGGCAGCAGTGACTGACCCACAGCAAACTGCTCCACCAGCCCAGTTCTGCATGGAATGGGCTGTGTTGAAGGGACCTGAAAGCTCCTCCAGCTCCAACCCCTGCCCCGGACAGGGACACCTTCCACTAGAGCAGGTTGCTCCAAGCCCCTGTGTCCAACCTGGCCTTGAACACTGCCAGGGATGGGGCAGCCCGTGCCCCAGCGCCTCTGCACCCTCACAGGGAAGAGCTTCTGCCTTATCTCCAGCCTGAACTTCCCCTGTTTCAGTCTGAACCCATCACCCCTTGTCCTGTCACTACAGTCCCCGGTGAAGGTCCCTCTGCAGCGCCCTTGTAGCCCCCTTCAGACCCTGGAAGCTGCTCTGAGGCCTCCAGCAGCTTCTCTTCTCCAGGCTGAACACCCCAATGGTCTCGGCCTGGCTCCATGTGGGAGCAGAGGGGCAGGATCCCCTCCATAACCTGCAGCTCCCCCTTCATGTCCTGCTTTCTCTGCCAGCCCCCCGTGAGGAACACCCCTGGCAACAAGGAGGCAGGGAGATCCTCCTCCATCCTCACCCCGGACCTGGCAGAGGACTCCACCGACCTCTTTGGCTCCGATGCCTTCAGCGCGTTTCCAGGTACCACCTCACCTCTCCATAGGTGACAGGGGGAGAAGTGCAGCAGCTTTACCCAAATGTGGCCATTCAGACCCCTGTTTTACCTCTTCTGAGGAGCTCATTTAACTGCAAGACCCTCCAGGGGTGCTGCAAAGGCTTTTTGGGAGCAAAATGCATGGAGGGCTTGGCTGAATCATGGTCCTGCTCTGTGTGTCCGAGCCCTCAGAGGAGTGGGAATGTGAGCACGGGGCTGCACCATCACTGCCCTGGTTGTCCTGGGACTTGGTCACAGCAGAGGAGTTAAAGTGCAAATTCATGGACTGGTTTGGGTTGAAGGGACCTTAAAGCTCATCCAGTTCCAAGCCCCTGCCCTGGGCAGGGACACCTTCCACTAGAGCAGGGTGCTGAGAGCTCAGAGACCTTGGTGCTGTGGAAGGCTCCCAGCCCCATTCCTCATGTCCTGCTGCAGGATGGGTGTCATTCCCGCTGCGGGACCGGCACCATTCCCCTCACCCCTGGCAGCTTCCCTGCATCCGAGCTCCCCTCTGACCGTCTCCTCCCTCAGAGCCTGTGGAGCCGCAGATGCTGTCGAGCCTGGTCCTGGAGGAGAACGACGAGACCTCCTCCATGAACATGGGCTTCTCCCAGCTCTCCATGCTCCCCCACTTGGCCGACCTGGTCAGCTACAGCATCCAGAAGGTGATCGGCTTTGCCAAAATGATCCCGGGATTCAGGTGAGACGTTGGCTCCCAGATCCGATGCCCACGGCCGCGGTTTCCCGCGCTCGGGAATCCCGTCCCCCCTTCACAGCCGGAGCTCTGTTCTCTCTTTCACCTTCACAGCTCCCTCAGGCTCTGTTCCTACTTTCCTGTTCTCTGTCTCTCCTCCTCTCCTGAGTCACTCTGTCAGCAAAATGCTTGAGCTCCAAAGGTGCTCGAGGCCGTGTGAGGGGTCTCCAGCCTGGTTTGTGAAGGACCCGGCTCCTCTTTAACTCCAGGCTGGTGCTCGGGGTGCGGGGTGGTGCCACCCAGTAAATGGAGCTGCTTAATCACAGACACCCAGGTGAGGGAGACGCTGGGGAGCCCCCAGCAAAGGGACTGAGTTACCCATAGAGCAGCTCCAGTGCCTAAAGGGGCTCCAGGAAACCTGGAGAGGGGCTTTGGACAAGGGATGGAGGGACAGGACAAGGGGAATGGCTTGAACCTGCCAGAGGGGAGATTGAGATGAGCTCTGAGGCAGAAGCTCTTCCCTGTGAGGGTGCTGAGGTGCTGGCACAGGGTGCCCAGAGAAGCTGTGGCTGCCCCATCCCTGGCAGTGTTCAAGGCCAGGTTGGACACAGGGGCTTGGAGCAACCTGCTCTAGTGGAAGGTGTCCCTGCCCGGGGCAGGGGTTGTAGATGGAGGAGCTTCAAGGTCCCTTCAACCCAACCCATTCCACGGCTCCAGGACCCTGCTGTATGGGTGGCAGGTTTCTGTTCTCCGCTCACTGCACTGCTCTCACCTCACCCTCTCCCCCTGCGCAGGGACCTGGCAGCAGAGGACCAGATTGTGCTGCTGAAGTCCAGCGCCATCGAGGTGATCATGCTGCGCTCCAACCAGTCCTTCACCCTCGAGGACATGACATGGACCTGCGGCAGCAACGACTTCAAGTACAGGGTCAGCGATGTCACCCAAGGTAAAGGCTGCCAGACCCTTTCCTGCCTGCTGCGGGCTCAGGAACGTCACCTCAGCATGAAACCCACATCCCCAGATCCCACAGTGAGCAGGCTGGGAGCAGGGATGCGTTTCAGGCTGTGGTACCCAGCAGCACGAGCAGCTCGGTGGTGTCACAGCAGGGCAGAGACCCCCATCCCAGCACCAGCTCCCACCTCTGGAGCCATGAGGGACACATCTGCACCCTGCAGCAGGACCCGATGGCTCCACGCACATCCCTCAGTGGTGGGAGATGCTGTTCCTGATCAGGCTGTGCTAAAAGGTCCGTTCTCTTCCCAGCTGGACCTGCTGGAGCCGCTCGTGAAATTCCAGGTTGGCTTGAAGAAGCTGAACCTTCACGAGGAGGAGCACGTGCTCCTCATGGCCATCTGCATCATGTCCCCAGGTAGGAGCACGCTCATCCCCCAGCTCACTGACCTGATGGGTTTAGTGTTGTCCCCCAAAATGCCACCCTTCCCTTATGGGTTT